GTTGGATGTGAGAATCGATTTCAAGGTATCGACTGTGTCCATGGCCCATATGGCGTTAGTTCTATCGATTTCGCTGTAATTTCGATTCTCGATTTTAAGTTAACGTACTGTGATTGGTTCATTTCTTACGCCTTACTTAAGCATAAGCACAGAAGCTTGCAAGCTTTTAAGTTAACGTGTTACGTGATATGCTTATGCGAACGCATTGTGAATGAGTCCGCTTATGGACGTAGTCCTCTTTTATATTAACGCCATGCTTATGTTTATGTTTGCATTGTGAATGGGCCTTTACATTACTTGCAATTTCTACAGAGTTTGTGAGAAGACTGCCACTGGCAGAAGCTCGCCGTTCATACGGCGATCGCACCGTAAACAAGTTCGGGCGCTCTTTCTGTTATGAGGGATGCGGGCAGGCGGCGTGGCGGTTGTTCAGAAATCGATACCCTGACGGTTGGATGACGACGGGGTTGTGGTGCTGACAACAGAGGATAGGCCGGATTCATGCGACTGTCGCGGTGTTGTATTGTTTTAATAGCAGACATCGAAATGCCGAACTATGAGCATGGCAGCTATTGTTTTTGATGGTGTAATTTGGATGTTGCCACGAATGTTGTCGACTCATCTCCCGTATGCAACTCTCGACGTCGTTCGCCCGTCTCTGAAGCGTAGCTCTCAGCGACTTTTGCCATTCTGCAGGTCTCCGCGGCGGGTTCCTACCTCATGCACTCAGTCTCCCGCGCAAAGCCTCGTTCCAACGTAATTCTGCCCTACGATTCAATTAAAATTGTGCATTACGGGGGCGCCAACATCCGGGATTTCCTATCGATGAGTCACGTGGTCGAGCTTCTAGAATTCTCTCTTCTTATTGGCTACCTACGGGCTTTCTTTATTCGGTCCTCGCAGTAGCGCCTTCTTCGGAACTGGGTGAAGCCGGCCCTCGTTGGAAACGGCTTTCCACGCAGGTTATAGTGAAATCTCACGCTCGGCTAGTACCCTCGCTTCCCGTCACTGCACTCCTGGGGTGGCCTGCGTCTGCTTGCGAGATGCGCGGATGCTGCCACAAGGGACAAATTAAAAATGTTCTTCTCGTTATTTGTGAAAATTGAATTGAATTGAAGCCTATTTTACGTGGCGAGACTCAGGCCATTAGGCCAGCTCTTCCGTCTGACCACGCAAATTTCCCTATGCTCCTTTCACTAACTAGCAGAGAAAGGGGGTATTTCTTGGGCGAGAAACAGGCGATTTGAATTTAGCTCAGAGGCTACGTCATTTAGGCTTGAGGATCTTTTACATGCAAGTAAATTTACTAACATGGGACAGCCGGCTTTACTTCACCTCCGACGGAAGGCGTACGAAGTATTTTTTCGCCCTTAAAAATCCACGGCTTCGATCGGGTTTGAAACCGCCAACTTGGGTACAACAGTACCCAACAACAAACGCTACAACTTGGGTACAACAAACGCTAACCGTTACACCATCGCCGCGCGCAAAAAGGGTTCCGAGCGCTTGGCGTCGGAGTCCGAAGCACGTTTATAGAACTTTCACGCCTAATTAGTGCAAGTTTCCGCACGTAGTGCGGCGTTGTTCGCCGGTTGCGATCGGTGGGTCTGGGCGACAATGACGTGGCTCCTTGAGAGGGGGGGAGAAAAAAACATTATTTGGGATAATCCCGGTTTTTCTCTTCCATATTTTTGTCCCCTAATTTTTTAAAAGATTTAATTCTCCACCGAAAAAAAGAACCGTTGGAGTATACGAGGCGCAGCGATGGTGTAACGGTTAGTGTACCGGACTGTTGTACCCAAGTTGGCGTATTCAAACCCGATCGAAGCCGTGGATTTTTAAGGGCGAAAAAATCCTTAGTATGCCTTCCTCCGGAGGTGAAGTAAAGCCGGCTATTCCATGTTAGTAGATTTACTTCCATGTAAAAGATTCTCAATCCTAAATAAAGCCTCTGATTCTATTCAAATGCCTGTTTTCGCCACGAAATGCTCTTTCTCTGCTCGTTGGTGAAGGAAGCGTAGCGAAAATTTGTATGGTCAGACGGAAGAGCCTCGTGCCTGAGTCCCTCGCCACGTAAGATAAGCCATTGATTTCAATTCATTATACTAGAAGACCTTGAATTGTACACAAGTTTCTTGTTACAGTATCATGGATCTGATATACTTCAACGTGGTTTCTTTTCGGAAGCAGCATAAACCACTGGAATGGCAGCGCTAAGAACCCACAAAGCTTTTTTTGGGGGGGGGGGGTGAATCTCCGAGAATTGTTTGCGACAGGAACCCGAAAACCGAATTATCATTATCCAGTCCAGGGGACTCGAGACGCGTCGAAGACACTTATATATATATATATATATATATCGATTGGTCCACGGGAAGTGGTTTAACCATGAGCGACGGATCCACACACATGCACACTCAAGTACTGTATAGGGATTAATTATTTTTCTCAAAATACAGAAAAAAGTAAATCTTAAATAATATAAATTTGAATATCCGCGTAATAAAATGTCTAAAAACATTTTTTAATTTCTCCCAACATAGGAGGGGGGGCGAAGTTAGTGTCGAAAATCCTACCACCGTCGGGACTAGAGCCTAGGATCTCCTGGTCAGAGGGACTGCAGTGACATCAGTTGATTCCCTGAGTCGTCTCTTTCTCGATTTCACGTTACTGATATCGATACTGTTTTCTAATGCTTTAGTGTTCGAGGGTGCCCAAACTCCCTATTAAGCGAGAGCATTCACAATGCCTTGACGTATTTAACCGTAGTCTATACTGCGATTTTCCGAACTCTTACCCTGACATGTATCAGCTGTTGACGGCTTCATCCAGAAAGTATTATATCCACAGTGACGTTCAAACTCCCGATTAGATGAAAATGTCAACAGCAGATACCTACCAGGGCAGGGTTGGAAAAACCGCAGTATAGACGTAAATCCATTCACGAGCACCAAACAACTTACGTTAAGTTTACGTCAGAATACTATCGACGACCAATCAGAGAGCTGTATGAACGAAACGAACATGGTGGATTTCACGAACGAACAGGTAATAGTTTGTGGTTGTCATTACTAAACTGGTTTGCTAACGGTGTTGATGCGAGTAGTGAATTTAAAAGAAACAGCTACCCACATTTATATTTAAAGACAAATCGATAGAAAAGTCGAAGAAAAAGCTAGGAACTGTGGTGAAAAGATCTTTCCACCAAGCTTGACACGAATCGATCTAGCGGTCGCCTGAGCCAATCAGATTTCAATGTAATACTCGCGCAATTTTTCTCGAACGATGGATTGAAGAAATGCGGGTAGAGTGGGTGTATTAGTTACGAAATCGGTCACTAGATTTTATGAAGCAATGCCAAACTCTGGAGAATCAGTCATGCCTTCGAAACGTTCTCAATAATTTGCATTCTAACTTTATCAAGAGTTCGAGGTATCTCCTGTGATAGATCCGTTCCTGCTTCAGTCATTTCTTTAGATTTCTGGAGAAAATAACCGTTAGAAGTTCTCGTTTTCAAAAGAAAATTGTTTCTATTCCGCGCCAGTGAAGGTGTGTTTGGAATGTTGTCATCAGTGCTCGCTGCGAGCTTTTGCATTCATCTGTTTATTGTGCCAGAGAGGGGGAAGCAAGGTTATCGTTCAAGAAAAGTTGAGCGAGTAATACATTGAAATCTGATTGGCTCAGGCGAAACTTACATTCCTCATTTTCAATACTTGTCTTTACGTGTACATTTTACTGATAAGTTCAGGACACTATGTTACGTTTAAGTTTGCATTGTGAATGAGGCCTTACACCTGAATTAAAATAATTTATAAACTGTTCTCGCATTTAAAATGCCATTCAGTTGCACGTCTTGAACCATTTTTGCGCCAATCACAACCGCAACCTTCTTGCATTATAATTCTTTTTTTGAACATCATTCCTAAATTGTTTGTATGGAAATGGTCTCTTTCAGTAAGACTTAAGTGCAAAAGATTCATCTCCAATTAAAATATGAGAGCAGGGTTCAGGACAGATTTTGCGGCCGAGGAACATTAATTGACCCTTCTTGAAATCTTTTTCCCATGTTAGAGACTTCGAAAATACCACCATCGCTGCTCTTACCAATCCACATACTTTGTCAACACATACATTTGTAATCTGGCCAATGAGTAAGAATATAGCAAATACTATAACGTATAGTATATAATAGCTCGTTGAATCTGGTCTACCAATAGCCATGACTATTATTGAAAAGGTGCTCAGATAGTACCAATAATGGTATTTACTATTATGTGGACACTTGATTCTGGCATTCACACTGCCAATTCAGTTAGGGAATTGCTACAAATTTTTAAATCCTTCAACAGATTAATTTCAAATTTCCGTTGTAGATTCAGATAGATATACACCTATTTTTTTGCTAGTAGTTTTCAAATTTCAGTCAAAATTGCACATACTGTTAAAAATCCCATTCGAAAGCTGTGGTCCATTGTTCTAAAGCTGTCTCCGGTGGCTAGAAACCTGTAAAATAAATATTTTTGTTTCAGGTGAAGAGGCTAAAAAGAAGTGGAAAAATCTCAGAGACACGTTTGCCAAATTTAGTAGATCTCCTCAAACGAGAACGACACAAACTGGAAGGAGAGGCAAGAAATGGATGTGGGCCGATCAGATGGAGGCCTTTCGCCCTTTTTTGCCATTTACAAACCCTGCTACCAATGTTTCAGACATCGAATCAGAGAATAATAATGTAATCTCACAATCAGATGAAACTACCCCTCAATCTACAGAGGTTGACTGTGAAGTAGGGAGTTCAGAATATGTCGTCGAAGCTGATAATATGGAAATGACTGTTAACACTCATTTCCCGGATTCATTACCAGTGTCAGATATTCCTACAATCGCCCCAATGGATGCTTCAAGAAAACAAAAACCCGATAGAAAACGCCGTTCAGAATCATCATCTTCTATATCAGAAATGTTACAATATTTTGAAACTAAAAAGAAGACAGAATATGATGCAACTGAGTGTCTTTTTTTGGCCCATGCGAAAACAGTTAAAACATTTTCCAGACGCAGACAAGCCATCACAAAAATGAAAATTGCACAACTTATCATGGAACAAGAACTTTTGCATTTGGAGGAACTTGGGTGAACAATGTCTACTCCTACACGTTAAAATACACCCAGTTGTAAACTATTGTGATCCAGCACTGAATCGACAATGTTGATTTTCAGCTCGCACATGCATCTAACGCGACTGAAGTTAAATATTAAATATTTTGTTTTTTTAAAAATATTTTTGTACATTTTATTAATAAATAATGTTTAAGAAATTATTATTGGAATCATTTATTCTCATAAAATAGAAATATTTTATTTTGTTACCTTAGTACAATAGCACATCGTTTTTCAGGTGCGATCGCTTCTCGATGGTGTCAGAGTTCCTAGTGTCATTTGAGATGAGATTCAAAATTTCGTCAAAAGAGTAATTGGCCATTGTAAAGTGCACGTTAAATCGTTTCTCAGTTTTTGGAAGGCATCAAGCTATGGCATTCTCCATACTTTCTTCTCTTTAGGTTAATCCCACGGACCCTTTTTCTTCTTTTCCTGAAAAAAGATAAACAATCTTTTTTGAAAATCGTAGATGAAATAATTAAAAGCACTTAGCAGAAATTAAAAAAAACAAGATCCTTTATACCGAAAAATATGTGTGCACATGCAAAATCACAAAATAATTTAAAGGGCTAATATTAACGAAAATAGTGCATTAAAAATGGAAACAAAACATCTTCCTCCAATACTGAAGCTCTAGAGCAGTTTGGAAGAAACGCGAATTCCAATTTTCATAATTCCACATATTTTAATGAAATTCGGATCCATCAGTAGAATTAGGCTATATTAGCACTATTCAAGCCCAAAAAGTTAAGTAAATGAATCAGTAACATTAAAAAAAAATCTTGTTTATGTACTTTGTAACACAATCTCTCTCAAAATTACACGAAAATGACTCATGTTTTTGTAAAAAATGTGCATGATGTCATTTAAAGATCTCAATTTGGAGAACATTTGTTAAAAATATTTATCTATAAAATGTGGTTGAAGGGTGGGGGGGATCGAATACATTTTAAACTTTTAAATTTTCGAAACTTCTCGGGTTTTACTGAAAATGAATAGTGAACATTGTTCTATTCAAGGAAAATATTTAAAATAAAAATTTGGATTAGATTTGAAATTTCGAAAATGCCATAGGGGTTTCATATGAAATACCCTCAAAATTAAAATATCTATTTCAAATATAAGGGGCTGAGATATCCGCCAGACAAAAATATTTGGTTAAATATCGGGTGTTGAAAATACTGTGATAGGATTTTAAAAAAGAAATTTTTAAAAAATCGATATCACGGTCCTGTATCCGTTAAAAATCGTGTCATCGAATTTTGCAGTTTCAGTGATATTGGATTTATTGAGGAGCATTTTAAGCAGTTTCAAATTAGATTACTTTTAAGTGAAAATATCACTCTAAGTAGTTCAAAATCTGAAGGAACAGATCCAGAAAGTAGTTCAGTTCCCCCACAAATAAATTTTATAAAGTTAGATTGTTATAAAAAATGTATTCATGATGGCAAAATAGTAATGGAATGTTGCGGAAAATCGATTTCGAGATTTCAACGGAAATACACCTTTTGGTATCCCCTGACACCGGGAAAGTTGTTTGTACTGAGTTTGTAGCGAGTGTGCGTATGTGTGTGACCGTCACTCGCGGTTAAACCACTTCCCGTGCACCAATCACGACAAGCGGTGTCATCTTGACGCGTCTCGGTCTCCTGATGAGGAACTGGTAATTTGTTTTCGGATCCGGCTAGAAGATTCAAATAAATGTCCAAAAACGTGTTTTTTTTCGTAATTTGGCGCTGCAATCCAAGTGATAATGACGGGAATTAAAACAACGCCTCTTAAATCGATCAATGTAGGTGGCGTTGATTAAACACCAATACCCAAAGGCATTTTTAGCTTTATTTTCTTTCACGACGTTGGCAACACTGATTTTGACAACTTTAAGTGAATAATTGAATTTCTGTAGAGTACACATTCTGTTGTATCTATGTGAATTACCAAGTAAATCACACTGCAGTTTGATAACAATTTAGATTCGAATTATCGTATTTAAAAAAATAAATTTACGAAAATCTGCGAACAATATTGCCTCAGAATTTATTAAACTTAAAGAATTTCAAGTGAACATGGAAAAAACAAAATTGTGTTAGAGTGTTTAGAATGAATGAATGAACGTTCTTATGAGCGACTTCTCACTTTTTCCGTTCTTACTTAAGTATGCAAATATCGATTTTCAAAGAACGTGACGCACAACTTATTCTCATTAAACTTAACATCTTATGCACATGCGGATGAGGGAAATGCCCCCTCCCCTAAAATTTTTCTAGTATACATAGTATAGGCGAAGTTTTGAAATGCGGCTCGAAAATACGATAGATTCTCGGCAGTAAAAGAGTTAAATGCCGGGCCCCGATAACGAAAAAGTGGATAAATACAAATGATAAATTAAGGAAAAAATTATCTAAAATGTGGTGTCACCAGAATTCCTGGTTTCTGGGCTGTTGATACCGAAAAAATTATTGACGGCAAAACATCCGTCCGTCAACACCACTAGCGCCTAAATGGATTCCAAATGGTTTTCCAAAATGGAGATTCCCCGGTCGATCAGGCACCATTCGAGGTTCCGTGATTTTGATAACCTTTCTTCAAAATTTGGGGATACTTTACAAGAAGCCACCGAACTATTTCAAAATTTCCTCAAAAACGGCTCGAAATTTTTCTTTAAATTCCTTGTTTTGCAACCCAATACACCAAAGTGACATTTTAATCCTCAAGTGTCCTCCAAGTGCTTATACTGGGAAACAAGATCAGGCAAATGTTCACATATTGTGTTATTTGATTTATATTTGGTTGTGTTCATAAAAGTTTAAGATTTCTATTCCTGTGCAAGCAATATCTCAAGAAACAGAACTCTTTCATTCCAACGTATTTTATTATTAAAAGTTTGATTACCATTTCTAAATGATTTTTCACTATTGATATTATTATAATGATTGTTAATAATAATAATAATAATAATGTGAAATATCATTATTTATGGCACAGAATTTTAGTTTTTATTTAACTACATATCCAGTATTTTTTTGAACAGGAATAAAATTATTCAAGTAAAATGGATCATCAAGTAAGCAGTATTTTCACCTTTAATCAAACACACACTCCTTTTAGTGTCCATTGGCTACATGAATATGATTTCCACGTTGTTCCTGTGCTTTCCCTGCAGGTTCCCCATATTTCTGGCTTAATGCTTCATGCAAAGTGAGGATGGTAAAAAGACTCAAGCAAAAAGTTTAAAGTTCTTGAAAAATGAATGAAACCCGAATTCCATGGTTTCTAACTCACTTAACTTACCCACCCTATTACATTAGGAAAAAACACATTTTTATGTAATAATGTGTTTGTAATCAAAAAGGTCTTGACATTTGAAATGCTGCTAAGGACATCTTATCAGACATTCCTACATGGACAACTTTACAAATAACTTTAAAAGAGCAAGTAGTTTTCAATGGATACTACTAGTGGCATACACATTTGTCAATTGCATTTTTGATGTGTCATTATCCTGCATATTTTCTGTGCTTTCATGTCCTGGTTCCTTCAAATTATGTTTCTCCAAAAGACAGTCATCAGGAACTTGGTGAATAATCTGTTTACGATTGTGTCTTTAATTAATTTTACACTTCCAGCCTAAATATAACAAACTAATATATATTATGGTCTGAAGCGCTACAACTAAACAGGAAATGTTCAAAATGTTGTATAAAAAATAGCTTTGGTGAGTTTACATTTAAAGGTTTCTATGTTGAATATTCACTCCTTGAGTTCTCTCCAAAAGAAAATCTGTCTAAGGCACAGCTTGTAAGAACTAATAAAAATCCCAAACGTAGCAAATGGTTTTTATAAATCAATTCAGCCTGTCTTGCTGATTTTTTAATGTACCACAATAGTAAACACTTGTGTATAGAACCATTATTTTATTAAAAATTTAACTTACAGAATACGTTTACAATACACAATTAGCATTCACACTTAAGTACATAATTCATCGCAAACTGAACTGTCCTGGAAAGCATTAATGGCAAGTGATAACCAGAATATCAAGAAGTTTTGAAAATGCATTAGTTTCATTGTTCATTTTTATTACTTTTTGATTCCAATGCTTGGACTCTTTTTCTCAGTTCCTCAATTTCTTGGTTTTTTCTCATAAGTTCTTCCCGAAGTTGTTCAATAAATCCTTTCTGATATTCCTTATCCTCTGGTGGTACGCTATCTCTTGGAACGTTTTTTGTCAACGATTCCAGAGAAAGCAAAATATCTTCTGCTGAAGGGCGCAACTGAACATCTTGTAACAATAATTTTCTTATCAACTGCATCTGAAAAAGATAAACCAAAAATTAATACTATTCTTTTCAGACTAATCAGTTCCCTGCTGTTGTACAAAAAAAGTATGCTACACTTAAAATTACCATAGTATTCTTGGCACAAACAGGGACTCAAACAAGTGTGGAAATCACTAGGCATTCTCAGTCCAGGCAAATCACGAACCTCAACGGAAATTGAAATGTTTCTTGACACTCTGAGTGCCTCATGGATAGATAATATCAATGCTAAATTACTAAAACTCAATGTTGGAAGTAATAAATCCCATTGTAACTGACATAGTAAACTTTTTTTCTAGTACATACATGGAACTAATCTGACCTCTTGGAAACTGCTTTTGTTCACCCTCATTCTAAAGCTACTATACATCTACCAGAATAAAACCAAGATGTATTCTACTTTCAATTTCAAAGGTCCTAGAAAAACTAGCGTGACGTCGAATTATTAATTACCTCGAAATCAACAATCTCATAATTGATCAACAACACGACTTTCGATCAAGCAGGAACACAGGCACTATTCTCGGAAATGTTATTGAAGCTAGAACCACCATCAATAACAGTAAATTAGCAATACTTGTTCTTTTAGTTGTCAGAAAAGCACTTGACTCGGCCGATCACGAAATTTTGCTTGAAAAATAAAAATATTGGTTTTTGCTAAACCATTGCCGTTAAAACATCAGTCAGTGGGGAACAGTCCTAGGGCCCTTAGCATTTTTAATTCATGTAAATGACCTAGAACGTTACATCAGTTTCTGTCAACACAAGCGTAAGGCAGAAGTAATGATTGGTAGCGTTCGGATGAGAGGCGTTTACGATTTGGTAGTAATGTCTTGGTCTAGACCGGATTTCTACGACAATGGAACTTTAAGTGGACATGGAACTACGTTCAAGATAGCTGAGGAACACCATAGAAAAGATACTAGAAAGAGGACATGCAAAATTATATAAATGTATGAAGATCAATTTTTGGATTAAATTAATTATGTCTAAATTAAGATTTAAAGAAGAGCCATGCATGCAGGGGGGATTCAGGAAAAGAATAATAAATAATAATAAGGGTTTTATTGCAACATTCTTTGAGATTGGCGTACTTATAAAATGCTATGTATGTATGTATGTATGTATGTGTGTGTTCACAGCAGAATACAGATTACAATGTTTAATTTGAAGTAGTTATTCCTTGGTAGTAGTAAAGAAAGTTCCCATCACACGTGAAAAGGAAATAAAAATACCTTACGTACATTTTCACAACCAAGCGCCTGTAAAGACGGGCTGACTCTCAAATAAATTCACCTCGGCACCTCCTTCGAGCTATTGCCGTGTTAAATGCGTAAAGAAATATTGAATAAAAATTAGGTAGTATAATCAAATAAAAAGCACAAGGGAAATTCCCACGTCAGACATGGGAAAAAAAGGTGTCGCGATTTACCATTCGACGTGGGGAATGCGATAACCGCAGCTTGTAAGACAGTTCTGATAAAATGTTCTGCCATTTTGACTACAGAGTCAAAGTAGCCCTCTGATAGACACGTTCGCTTGAAATTTCGACCAATCAGCATGTTGTACGCGCCATTGGAAGGGTCGAGCCAACCCATGAACAAGTCCATCGATCGAATGGTCGCTTCCAAACATGTCTTCTAGAATAGACCCAAGCAGAACGGTTGCAAGTGAGGACCGCAGGAAGCCACATCAACACACGTGGTAGTTTGTGACTATGGCGAAATGGGGTTGGTACACCTGAATTTACAATAACCAAGTTCGATGCGTTCGATGCGTTCTGATTTCAATACGTAGCTTCTCGGACAAGAGCCAGACGAGCCCCACAGAGGACAGTGGGCGTTTACAAAACCGACTATTAAGAACGGCGAGGTTAGTTGGTGTATGAAGGCCCAAGAGTTCGTCGGTGGATACACTCTGTCCTGGGGGGATTTAAATGTTAGTGAGCGTGAGAGATGGGAAGTACCCAGGACCGGATTTAAGTATTATGGGGCCCCAAGCACAAAATTGGTTTCCCCCCCCCTCCCCCAAACAGCTCCATCTTTATTAAATAAAAAATGTATTACAGTACAATTACAATGAGGTTTGCATACAAAAATTACATATTCAGTTATAAGTAAAGGAAATAAAGTATAGTTAATATTAGACTAATTTAACATGTAATAAATATTTTTAAAAAATGTTTTGAAATTGTAAATTTTGTTACATAGTAGACTAGTCGATTAACAATTATTTCACAGACAAAAAAAAAAATGGTATGCGTATTTTTCCGAAACGCGGGGCCCCTGGTGAATGGGGGCCCCCAAGCAACTTGCTTGTTTTGCTTGTAGGTAAATTCGGCCCTGGAAGTACCCCTGCACACACTGAAGCTCGGTCTGAATTTGAACATCTGTAGAGTGCAGCAAGTCGTGGATCAAAGTAACAACTCCGCAATATGCGCAATATCAACCCTATATGGAGTAAAACCACGAAAGGATTATCAAGGCCTGTAATGGGACAGCACAAGTCTGAGTTTGTCCCGTCGGGAACAAAAATAATTTAAATTCCAAGATACGAGAGACTTTTTGGGGGTAGTAGTCTTTTCCTTTTTACTTTCTCGCACTTACGTAAGAAGAGAAAATATTGTAATCGTGCACCGCAACACGGCGAATTTTTGTCACAATAGCTTTTATTGCCGGGCCCTGGCAACGAAAAGTGGATACATCCAGTTGCTAAATGCAAAAATTCCTCTAACTCGTGGTGTAGCCACAATCCATGTGTTGTGCGTCCTTCACACCGAAAAAACGATTGACGGCGAAAGTCTGTCAGCGGTCTGCACAATGCTAGCGCATAAACCGTTCAGCCGATTATGTCCAACATTGATATTCCTCAATTGTTCTGGCTGATGTCGCGACCCGTGGCATTTGAAACCGATATTTTAATTTTGACGAATACTTTACATGAAGCCCCCTTAGGACATTTTAAAAATTTTCAAAATGGCTCCCAATTTATAAAATAAATTTTGTTGTTGAATAGTGCGTTAAAGAGAACGGTGTAGGTCTTATTTTCGTTTAAAATCGCTGTTTTTTTCTTCGAAAACGAAAAAAAAAGAGTGCTACAGAACAGCGCAGACATTCCCGATTAGTTTTCTATTTCCTTTGGTCTCGGCTAACTATTCGGACTAGCCACATACTATTGTCTATTGCCAGCTGCCATCTATAGTCGCCAAAGAGTACTTTTTTTTATTTTAAATTTCATGAATTTTTCGGTTTCTACTATTAAGTAGAACGGAAATATTACTTTAAGAATATTAATGAACTACCGCTCACCCACTTTGGGTGAGCAATTGCTCAGTCTCTGAGCGTACTCCCAACTGGCGAGCAAATGCTCAGAATTGGTAGGAATAAAGTTAAGCACTTACTCTCTAGATTGAGCACTTGCTCGAAAATTTTGGAGGAACCTTACTAGCAAACTCACGTTTGGAAAGAAAGTTTAAATTGACCTAGTTTTTACCGTGTGCTGACATGCAGATGCAGCGGACTAAAAAAATTACATTATAAGGCGAGATTCTCGTGATGTACACTATAAGAATCTTTACCGATTCGAAAAGGACATTGTTGTATGTTTGGTACGATTTTTATCGGCGTTTGCTTTCAGCCGCGTTTTCATATTGCATATCTTCTATGTTAATTGGCCATCGCTCATTTCTTCTCGTAATTTTGCGGGATACTGTTTTTTCAAACTCTGTAATGATTCGTTTCGGCCACAGCGTGCCTCAGGAAGCTGTCTGTTTTCAAAAATAATTTTATATTCACTTAGCGTTTCAGCAAGAACTAGCTGGACCTCTGGCGTCTTCTGTTCTTCGTTACTGCTACTCATATTCGAATTTAAAGAACGAGACAACAAAACATTGCTCTTTGCTCCGTAGAAATGATGTGAGTGACCCGCGTAACGTATATAATCTCGTTGTTACCCAGGAAACCAATTTTCAAAACTTGGCCTGTACAATCACTTGTTCACAACGAGCAAATGCTCGTGAGACACGAGCAAATTCTTCGGAGACATACAAAGTTTTTATTCATACGAAATGGAGCGTTCGCTCAATATCATGGAGTAGACTCCCTTTGCTCCGGAGCAAGTGCTCATTTTTAATCGAATGACCCAATGTCTCCTAGGGAGACATACAGCAGCAGAAGTGCGCCACTGGGGGGAGCAGCAAGTGAAGTCTGGCAACTCGGGGAGGACGAGTAAGACGTGTTGCCAGACTCGCGGAGGAGTACGGATGGCGGAAAACGTTAGACTCGGACGTGTAAACGAAACAAAATTGTGATAGAGACTTTCGGGAGTTCGCGACACAGCATCATAATACGGGACGAGCTGATCAGTGCACGAAGGGGCATCACTGCATGCAGTAAATTGAAGGTCTTCAGAAAGATAGTGAAAATTTTACAAGACCAATACGGCAAACAGCACTATGTGACTAGTCTGTATTAAATTCTGTAGATCAATTTTATTCCACATCTTCATTACACAAAGAAAACGGGTTTTATATTTCCATTCAACAAAATAAGTCTAGGAAACTATACAGTATTTTGGCTGCTAGTGCCAGAACTAAAATTAATTGTAAATTAATTTAATTTTATTTTATTAAGCAGGGCAATTGCACATTTCACCATTTGATGGTCTATTTAAACTATTTCCAAACTAGTTGGTACCGAAAAAAGAATATACAAAACATAGATTTGCACTTCCCTTTCTTTCATATTTCATCCCTTTTACTGTGCCATGTTCATGATATAATGCAGGAACGAAAGATGTAGGGAGACATACATGGCATATTATTTTTAACTTGCAGTTTCTCTTTAAAATGTGTAAAAATTTATTATGTAAGGCATGAAATACAAATGCAAAATGCCCCACATAATATTTCTTATCATTGTTCTCTTTCCCCTTACTGAAATTTAACATCCTAAAATAATCAGCTCAACTGGAAAAACAATGGTTTAAAATGGCCCATTATGCAAAATTTAAAAATTGTATCCATCACAAATATATGTTGTTTTTAATTCTGGTCAAAAGAGTATTTTAAATTTAAAAAACTTCAGTCACAAATTGCAACTCACAACTTGAATTTATACTAAATATTTGAAAGTGTTCTTACCAATTCAGGATTTTGCTCATCCATTTCTGAGGGAAAGGTTCCATTTCTTAAATTTGTCAGAACAAGACTTCTCTCCATATCTGTTCTGAATGGGCACAACAGCTCAAATAGAATTATCCCAAGGCTGTATATGTCACTCTGTTGATAGAGATCAAATGTCATAAAACATTAATAAAACAACTTACAAGAACATTTTAAATACATTTTACATGGTAAACAACAGCAAGGACCTTGAAAAGTGCTTTTTTTGTTGTTGTTTTCAAGATTTCCTGTCAAAAAAATCAAGTTTTCTTTCCTGTAGTAGTAGAATATTTTCTCTGCTACTACATATTACATAAATGAAAAAGGTTAAAAAGAAAGAACAGTGCTTTGGTATCAGGCATCCACAATGTGCATTCCTTTAAAATATCAACATTTAATTGCTGCAGCAATACATATTTTTCTCTAAATTAGGTGTAAGAGAATGTAAAAGCAACAAAGTGAAAATATGCATTTTGAAATATTCTACTTAATACCAAGATAACAACAAAGAAACAAAACTTCTGTAGCCAATATTTGTACAGAAATGTTTAGCAATCGAGTAGTCCTGAACAGACTATTAATACCTTGGTAGTTCCAGCTAACACTGGCTTGGCTGGCAATTCGCACAAGACTGTTTGACGAATGGCCACTTTCTCACCGAGTTTTGTTTAATTCCCAACCTTGCCTTCTTGTAAACAACACTCTACATCATCTACAAATAATGACAGTATATATCAAAGTGTTTGAAGCCATAAAATCAACATAGTTACTTCTTACCTTAATGTCACATTTCCCCTCCAGCTGTTCAGGGGCAGCATACAACCTGGTACCAAACTCCCCTCTGTGGTTATGGGAAGCAATCAATGTTACATCATCTGATGAGTGGTGGAGGAAGCATGCCAAGCCAAAGTCTCCAACTTTGATCTGACTAGCACTAACTCCATTCACAAAAATGTTGTTGGGCTATAAAGTACAAATTGTTGCACATTGTATTTGGAAAGGAAAGAGCCTGGAAATATTTTAAAGTTAACCTTTCCTTACCTTAATATCATGATGAACAATTCCTTGAGAATGAATGTATTGAACACCCAACACAATGTCATGGAAAATCCTTAAACATTCTTTGACGTTGACAGAAGGCGATATAGCATTTCTTTCATTCAGCCAATCCCTCAGAGTAGAAGAACATAACTGCATCTGGATGTATAAAACTACCCACTCATGCTAATGAAAGGAATAGCATACATTATCTTCAGACTGAATTTAATAACTGTTGTATGACGAACTACACATAATATGAACACGTAAATAAATGTACTTGTTTCAAAGCAAAATTAGAGGTAAACTTGAACTCACTTGAATATTAGAATCTTGATTAGTGTTTTCTGCTTGTATCATAAAACGACACACAGCTTTCTCTTTTTGTAGAGCTTTAACTTCTACACTACAATCCTCTTTATGTCCTGATACAAAATTGTCCATTGTAATGGCAGCTTCACTTTTGAACATACTACTAGCACCAGATGTACTAGCATTGGAGCTTTGCAGGAATACTTCAGAAACTGTTCTGCTATGTACATGTCTGGTGCTCAATGTTTCAGGTTTTTCCATTGCAGCGGCTCCCTGAGTAGAAGTTTCAGTCTTTTTCTCGGAGTCATTTTCTTTGAAAATAATACTGGATGATTCTTCTGTTTCCACGTTATTCAAAACAGGTCTAAAGGCAATTTTTTGGCAAATTAAGAATTTATTGATGAAGAAAATAATGTTACTAGCAAGATATAGAAACACTCACTTGGGAAAACCCTGAGAAACATCAGATACGTCAGAAACATCTTCCAGCTCGCTTTCCTGGGGCGAAATATGATTAGATGTAAAAGAGAACAATGGTTCAAGCCAAGCTGCTTTGTATGCCACAATATTGGGGTGGTTCAATTTGGCCAATAATTTAACTTCTTGAATATTTCGGTAGAAACTATTCAAATTACGATACCTTGAAAGAAAATAAAATGTGTATACATTTCCTACTTCCTTTTTCGATTTTTAGTCACACGTTTGATTAGGGTATTTATATTACCTTAAAAATATTTTTTTAACTGCATATTCTTCTCCGTCCAGTTTATTTCGTACTTGGAAAACTTGCCCAAAACCTCCTTTAGCAATAAACTTCAATTCCACATAATCCGTTGAGTATCTCGACCAATGTAATATCTGTTCTTCTTTCAAAACCGATGGAGAGAGTTCTAGGTTAGCACTGTAACTGTAATCAATCTTACCAGTTTGCCATTCAAAAAAAGATAAGTGTTTGTTATCTATCAATGCAAATCACATTTATGTTGATAGAATTTACTCCTCCTCCATTTCCGGCTTAGTTCTTTACTTGCCAAGAGAGACAAATTGTCAAATTGTGACCACATGACCAATGAATAAAGAGTTGTTAGTGCTGGGATTCTAGGAAAGGATTTTCACTAACTAGGATAATATACTATGACAAAAAGGAAAGACGACCCTGTTGCAAAAGATTGTGCATCGAAAACAGTAAAGGATTTGGTATGATCATTATTCACTGGTGGTTATAAGATTAAAGCTGACAAGTTTTTATGTCCATATTCCCGAGTGTATTTCTGATGGAGATGAAACTAACATTACTGACATTAATGGAGGATTAATCCGGAAGCGCAGAGCGCTCACTGCCCCTTGGGGCTTTGAGACTTGTTGCGTCAACTGAAGATGCAAAAAATAAAAATATTTAATATTGGGATAACTTTCTTAGGGAATAAACTTTCTTTCAAACTATCCAATAATTTGTATAACTCAATTTTGAAATATCCATAGTATGCTGTACTTTCAAAAATATAGGTACTTTTCAAAATCAAAATAATTAACAACTTACTTTGATAGTTTAACAATACTATTATCTTCATTTCCTTCAACAGTTGACTTCGCAACAGTTACAAGATGTACCAAAGCCTTCTGATAATAGCCTCTCAATGATTCAAATTCTTCCAAACCATATGTTTTATCAATCAATTTCATTTGATGAAGCTTTCCACAAATCACTGTTACAAAAAAAATTTGAAAAATTTGAAGATAATGGGTAAGTTATACACAAAATATTTAAACATTTCATCACAAACCTTTATATAGATTTTTCTGATTTGCAGGATCCTTTTCAAGAAGTCTACACAAATGTTCTATAAGTGATTCAACCAATAAACTTGATGGTGAAAAGCTTCTAATATTCTCAACAGTGTATTTCTTATCACTCATACTATCAACAGGACGAGTTGCACCTAAAATAATACCATGTTGAAATTCAGCAAATATAATTTATTTTTTAACAACAATTTAGATATATTCTGAGTGTTGTACGCTGATTTTTACTGATTTACGAACCGCCTGCATCAAAGGTGGTTACAGTGTTGAGCTCGGACCAAGCTGAAGCACGTGAAAGAATTTGAGCCTGCATGATTTAGCTTTCCTTTTTTGGTAGCCTACAACACATAAACAAAACAAAAGGCACATTACAGTATTTTTCCTTTATTTGATTAAATTTCAGAAACCAACCACTTCATTTACATTTTAAGAATTATTATAAATTGGTGTCAGAGATGATCTGGAAAATTTAATACAAATTATAGTCAGTAATATATTTTGAATTGATATAAACGACATCTGAGATGTTCCCCAAAAATATTGTTGAATTCGTGTAACAGAAAATCCAATTAAGAGATTCTGCGCGATACTTCGCACATACGTCATTACTTTGTGTGACATTCTTTGGAATTCTATATTGAGAGATATGGCAGAAATAATATTCTACGACCAACAATTTCCTAATATCGTTTATGAAGTAATTAGGCCTCCTTGATAATAAACTTGAAAATAATATTGCTTCTGCCCACTTCACTTCGACTACTAGGAATAAGGAAATTCGAATTTTAATTCAAGCAAATTTGATATTATCAGTATTATTACTGGTAAATGACGTCACAAGAAATAGTAATATAACAGACTTTTACTAGTATAATATAACTTGCCTTTCTTTAGGTGTTCTTCGTAAACTCTTTGAATTAAAAAACTGATGCATTCTTCGCAACCTCAAATATTTTGTGTGGATTAAATTGAACGTGGCATCTATGAACCTAGTATTTTTTATAAAATCAAATTAATATGTTCATCCACTTCGTTGACAATACTGTAGCGCGCTAAATACTTCTGAAACCCACGAATAATGGCCTTCGTCAGATCCTTCCACCTCCAGGTCTCCAGATTCACCAGCTGGCCGAACTGGGCCTGAGTGAAGTTCAGATCCACGATATTCGTTTGTTCCCTCCACGTGTGGTTGTGGTATAAAGTATAAACAACATCGTAGCGTCTGGCGATCACAAATATGATATGCGAGCGCTGCGTGCATAAAAACTGGTAATAACGCACCGGGTTTCGTTGGTCCGTGAAAATAATCTAAATTTTGTAAGGGGGAAGTAAAACGTAAATACTGGCTTACAGTTGTGAAGAACAGTCAAAATCCACTAGTGGTTAATTCATTTTTAATTATCAAATCTTGAATACAGTATTCGTTATGCCACATCCAGCAAGTGGTGGTGCTCAGTTTCTGCAGCATACTAGGAAGATTATTAGGTTTTCTCGGAAAGGGTGTACAAATAGACCATTTTATCACATAGTAGTTATGGAAGTAAGTAATTATGATTTTTCATGTCCGTATATATTAAGTACATTGTTGTTTTAATATTTTCTCTGGTTACCCACAGAGCTTCAGGGATCAACAAGACCCAGTCATTGAACAAGTTGGAACATATGACCCGTTACCCAATCAACATAATGAAAAATTAGTTTCACTCAATTTGGAAAGAATTCGTCATTGGGTTGGAAATGGTGCTGATGTCTCCACACCAGTTGCCCAATTATTGGGTATTGTATATTGATTTGGATGTTTACTATTTTCATATCTGTACACCTCATGCTGGGGTCTGTTGAATACCAATGTTTCTTTCCTCTTTTAATTGAGCAGATAAGTTGTGTGTATTATGAGAATAATGCAACTGAATAGAGATGTCTATTTAATTTCTCTCTTGAGAGTGCAATTTGTTGCTTATCTTCTTGTAATTTATCGTCTAATTTTTGTTTATTTTCTGAATAACTTATGGCTTGGCGTAATGAGATTGTTAATATCAGAGGCTGCTAAATTCTTACGTTCAAATCAATTTGAAATTACGTGCAAAGACATGTTGCATTAGAATTGTTATTGCTAAGTCACCATTACTCTGTGTATGTTTTCTTGAGCATCTGCCACTCCTTTACTAACAATAGTTGAATTAAAAATGATAGTAACGAGTGATGTTAACAAAACCTGATAATCAGAAATGCTTCCTTCTGCTTAATAGAAATTATTTTGCATTGAAAAACTCGCTACCTGTTGGATACTTTCATCCTGTTGTACAAATAACCAACCCCTCCGCTCCACTCCTTTCAAATCTAGCGAAATGAGGGCTCAAGAAAACAGTAGCAGAATGGCACTAGCAGGGATTAAAATATTATGGTCTTAGAACTTGTGGCCTTATGAATAATACATGTAGCCATGCTCAATTAAATATTTAATGATCTTGAGAGCTCCAGTGAGAGGTGTTTACACATGTGACAATTTTAATATTTTTAAAATTTATTTAGGTTTATGCGGTTTTTTTCCTATTCACCCAAGATCTTACATGACTGCATGGAGGAATCGCAGGGCTCAAGCACTATCCGAAAATAATTCAAGTTCATAGAAAGGTACACTTAACTTATTAGAAATTGATTTATTTTTACTTTGTAATACATAATAGCTTTAGAATTAAAAACTTGATACTGTGTAATAATAAAGTATAAATTTATCTAAGAGTGTTAAAACTTTCTCAATTTTAACAGACTATTTATCCTCCTGTGTCCAATTTTTCTTACTCTTCTCCAGTACTCCAATGTGTTAGGATCCATTTCAGAGAGTGGTGGTGGTTGACCTTAGAAGAAAAATTTTAAGGATAGAGAATAATGAATCAAGTCACCAAATTGTTTATATTATAATACACAAGAAATTAACTTAAACTGCTTAAAATGAAAATAGAAGACATCATGAATACCGTAACTGGGAAATCTTTATGATAAATCTTAATGTTAGACATGAAATTTTTGTATCAATTGAACTAGTGAAACTATGAAATGACAATATTTAACCTGTTCGTATGCTCCACAGCCATTCTGGGTATTCATTGTCAGGCTTTATCTTTATGTCTTCTCCTTCTTTTAAAATATTACTTCCGCATACATAGTTAACCAGCTTATTTGCATCTTCTACTACAGGTAGAACTTTCTTTTCCATAATTGGTCCAAGTTTTCCTTTCTTCTTTTTGCCCAAAGCTAATAATCCTGGAAACCATTTTGAAATTGCAATATGTGAAAAATTGTATTAGCATGGCGAAGCAAACATAAAAGCTGGAAATGGGCAATTGGCATGTGGCTGAAAACAAATGAAAAAAGGGTGTTTTAATAGCAAGGAATGAACCTTTAAAAATCAGCAGGAATTTCATGAAACAATTATTCCCATAAAATCAATTAGCAATGTCAAGTGAGCAAACTTTGTCGTGTAACTTTATTAATTTACACATGTACTTACAAAAGCAGTACAAATTAGTAGTAGGATAAAACATACTTTTAAAAAATGAGTTAAAAGAAAGATATTACTTTTGGTAAATTAAAATTTAAATAATTGCAAGCACATTCAGAATATGCGTGAAGGGTATACAATTATGGATTTAACTTTACAAGGGATATCTACTTCCTGCAAATAAAAAGATATTACAGAAGATGAAGCAAGAAATTTTAAGAGTACATAACTTCAAATAAAGCTATGACGCTATCCAGAAAGAGATAACATTTATTTATTATTGTATTATCTCATTAATAAACATTCATGATGCTTCTACAGAAAATATTAGACGATACTTGGTCAAATGTATAAAAGCATGTTCAAATAATTGAAAGAAACGCGAGTGTATTACAAGAACATTAACAGATTTCGGCGGTAGGACGTTCCAAAATCTGTTTTGTAATTTATTAAGTACTGGTACACTTTGTACTTAGATACAGGTTATATTTGATATGTAAGAGTAATTTCAGGTTACCTGTATCAGCCTTCTTGGCAAACGCACAGTGCTGCATCGTGTATATGAAAGCATTTTTTACACTTGTACAAATCCGTGTAGAATTTATACACAACATTTTTGCATGTCCCTTCACCAGCTCTTCGCTGCGCCTGGGTTTGTTTCTTGCTTGACCTTGTACTTTGGCAGCCTGGCGCAGGCCGGGTGCTAAAAGAAAATAAAACTCACCAGCCACTTGTTCAAAATTGGTCAATGGAATTCGAAAAGAAAATGCCGAAATTAGAGTGTTTAAAAGCTCAGGAAAGCAAACGCGACATTCATTGTAAAATATTTCGTGTCATCCGTCCTCTTAAAACTATTTTTTTCTGTTGTATATGCTAATTGGTTGGGAGAAAGTTGGTAGAGTGCAGTTCACAATATTCTCTGTGGTTTGCAGCACAGCTGAACGACGTCTCTTTGAATCTTTTGGATCATAGACGGTCATTCGGCGAAAACTGTGCTATGGTGTGTGCGGTGAAAAACTAGGTGAACTGTTTTCCGAAGTTCCTCGTTTAAATTTGTTTAAATTTTTGAGAAAACAGTGTTTTGGACCCCTCCGTAATTTGTGTATTTGATACATTTCTTTTGCCACAAAATAAATTCACCTATTTACTTACGCTTCGAAACAAGTGCTAACCCATAAATTAAGGACAATTTTGCGTAGGTTTTCATATTTGTGTAATGTTCTTACAGTGTTATTTATCTTTAATAATCTATTACGTTTGTAAAAATGTGGATATTATTGCGATTCTGTTGTATTTCACAAAATACGTACGTGTCTGTAGTTCTAATTCATAATCTCTGATTCATCCTGTTTATCTTCTTTTCAGGCTTCTTGTCGGAGCGTCTCTGTATTTGACGTACAATGCAGAATCACAGTGAAAATATCAACTCGGAGTTCATTGCGAAAAGCGCAGTAGATTATGCTCCAAACGATTCTGATTCTCGCAATAATCAGAAAGTGCAAGGTAATGCAGCCAGTAGTGATTTCATTTTAAATGAGCTGACGTCGAATGTGTCAAATGCTGAAGAGGAAAATAATTTCTGTGATGTGAACGAAAAATCCAGTAACCAAGATCTGGAAGAAAGGGGGTCATGTAAATCTGAAAAAGATACGGACAGTACAAAAAATGTTGATGAAAAATCATCTGTTCGTAGTGATGTCATTCCAGAAGGTTCAAATGATAAATCAACTACTTTAGAAAATGAAGAAAATGATGAATGGATGGATATTTTAGGTAGTGGCCAATTGAAGCGAAAAGTAAGTAAAAGTTTACTGACTCCATCAACTTACAATACTTTTGTTTGAAAATTGATAATTGTCTTTATTGCTTCATTTAGATTGTGAAACGAGCTGAGAATACATTTCGACCTCAAAGTTCTTTTATATGTGAAATAAATCTTGAAGGACAATTAGAGGATGGAACAATAGTTGATAAATTTGAACATCGGAAAATTCAAGTAGGGGATGCTGAGGTTTGTATGCTCATTATTAAAGTGAATGAATTTTTTAAAAAAATTTGTACATTTTCTTTTTAGAATGTGTTGTATGGTTTATATTACTTATGTTGAGGCAGTAAGGAGTGGTTTTAACTTGACAATAAAGGGAATTGTGGTTGGCAACCCCCCCCACTTCATTCCAGAGGCAGTTTCTGATTTGGTTGCAAGTTCGTACAATGATTCATTTGCATCTTTGATTTCTTTCATTGATTTTCAAATTCTTTCACAGGTTACTTAAAATTACTGATACTGAGTTAGTACTGTTTATCCTAAAGCATTTTTATTTATTGAGTAATGAGCCCCTTAAAGCTTCCCAGCCTTCTCCATTTTGCATTGTTCTTAGTTGACAGTGCATGCATGTATAGTGTTTTTGTTATTGTTGTTGCTGAATACATTGTTTATAGCATTGCTAATAATATTCCAGAAAGTATAAATAGAAAATTGATTAACTAGACAAATTATATGGGCTGATGAAAATATGAACACGAATATTTGTACAACTCATTGTTTATTCACCATCTTCAGTGGCTCATAGCTAGTAAGCTTGTAATCAGGTCACAACTCTGGGTTCAATTTCCAAATATAACCAAATTTAGTCTCCACTTATTACTCGCATGTCCCAGTTTGTTTAGCTGTGTCACAATGTGAAAGCTTCTCTCGCATAAAGAATTCCAAATATATGGTATAAAGGGTTGCGTCCCCCTTTCTACTCTTCACCTTAGCCTATAATTGCACCATAGGTTGGGACTTCATCACAGAGCTTAGCTTCACAAGGCTTTAGTGCCAAAGTACATACAGACAGAAAATACACTGTTTCATTATCTCTCAAAAAAGGAACACTTTCTGTTACCATGTTATTGAGTTGTGTTGGGATTCAAATGAAAATAGCGGTTTTGGGATTCTCTTTCGTTAAAAGTTTTATAGGCTGTAACTGCAATTGCCTGAAAGTTGTATTATTAACCATTACTGCTTGTCCACGGAATTACCATCAAACTGAAAAATGTCTTGTTTCCAATTTAAAATATTGCATCAAAATCTGTGGATAAAGTCACCCAAATTTTAATGTTACTGGGAGTTTTAATTGACTTTGATTTAATATTACAATTCAGGAAGTGCTTTTATACAGTCAATCTCAGAGGGGGTGTTAAAATTGCTGCTAAAATGGGGGAAGGGTTTAAAATTTTCAATTATGCAAATTATTTTTTTTCAGTGACTTATAACTAAAACCAAAGGCAAAGTTCAGAGGAAATGCCTAGTACTGCTATTACATGAAAGAAAGAAATGAAAATAACAATGTTTTACTTAAAAATTGTTACTTATCGATTTTGTTGTCATGCAGAATCATTAATTCGCCTTTGTTATCTTACTGGGTTAGATTATATCATCCAAATCGAAGAAGACAATATAACTCAGGTTTGCAGTTTGTGAAATAAAATCTGATTCAACATAAGAGCTTTGGTTTTAGATCTTCTGATTCCTTTAATTATGATTTAATATTTGTGCGATAAAAAATATTAACAAGCCTCTTTATATTATTTTTGTTTTCATAATTCTTATCAATGGTCTTTGTATCAAGAAGCTAATTGGTGATGATTCTAATTACTTACGAACATATTTTCATGCAAATGCTATTTTTCTGGGAGAAGATATGTTCATTTAATAATTGTTTTTTGAGTTTGCATCAAATTCTGAATGCTTTACAGTTTTTAGTTTACATATTGTGGTACATTTGCTATTTCACCAATTACTGCATATTTGGTACATTATTATATATTTACATGTCGAAACAAAATAATTCAAATATGAGTTTACAAATAAATGTCTGTGGAATCATCATTGTAAGAAAAAAGTATTACTGTGTTCCTCTGACATCCAGACCTTTGCCAAATTTACCTTCTGCTTCTTCGAGATTGCATACTTAGTATCAAAGAAGAAGAATATTTGCAAGGCAGAAGTAATTACAATCACATATTTGCTCACATTTCATAGAGACCATGCGTCACATGATAGAATCCTGACAAACTTTATCTTGTCATGCGTTTTGCACTCTGCTGAGATATATACACATCTGTATCAGAGAAGCAAAATTCAGAAAGCATTCATGAAACCCTGCCCGCTCAAGCTCAGTAAGAATACTCGTTTAGATTGTAATGCGATCAATCTGAGGCAGTTGTTTTCAATAAATTGAGTTCAGTTACAATATTAGATGAATGTTGTTTCTAGGCACTATGTAGATCATTTGTACCATAAGTGTGGTGCATGCTATATTCCCAGGGGTGACAGTGTTCTTTCCCTGCTGAAACGAGAATTTTGGTGACGGCCTACTTATAGGTGGGGTTGAAGTTGACCTAGCAAACTAGCTGGTCGCAAAAATCAGCCAGCTTTTGAACTCTAGAACCTCCTGGTGGGCATTGCTGCAGAGGCAATGTTTACAAAGGGGAGAATTCTAGCAGACTGTATCCCACTTCCTCTGATTCATCACCAGCTCTGCAGCGAGTCTGTTCACATGCTTCTTTTGTAAACAATGTGTGTTTTCCATACATGTTTTATGTTTCATTTAAAACTGAAATTGTGGTGAAGATGTGTGCTCAATTACTTCTTTAGAGAGAGAGAACATTTGTTCTGCTGCCCCATTTTGATATTTGATTTGCATACTTCTGAACAAATAAATGAATATTTTTTATTGTAATAAATTCAGTTCCCAACTAATTACAGTTAACAGAACTTCATGAACCTGAGGCCATGATTATTCTAAAATTCTTTTTCGATGATCATCATAATCTGTTTTATTAGTCATCTAATATTTGTTTTATGATTATGACTACACTAGTTTATCAGGGTCACCACTGTTTGAAAAACTTGGAAAACCTGGAAAAATCGGAGAATTTTATTGCGCTGGAAAAGTAGGTAAAATCGAGGAATTAGTGGAAGAATCACTAGAAGTCGGGGAATATTTTGAAAAGATTTTAAAATGAGATGTTATTCCTTAAAAACATTAGTACATCTATGTTTTTTACTCAATTTTTATTTTGTGAGGGTGAAACCAGACAGGAGAACAATTAGTGTCAGAGTACTTTATCATTTTATTAATGTAGTGTGATATAAGGAATGTTGGGGAAAGAAAAAACACGGAATAACATCACAGAGGTGAAGTATGATTATTAGTAGGATGAGGAACCTGATGAAGGAGGAAATTTCGAAACATTCGCACAACTAATTGTTTCATTAATGACCAATCCCATGAACCAATTTTATTTTATTATTCATCAATGGTCGTGATTCTACAATTTTGACAATACCCTCCAGTAGTTTTCGAAAGCTATATTATTTAAAATACAACCTTATTCGTCAAGCATTATTTTTCATTCATCATTGTATTTATGACTTCTTTTTTCAGTACAACCCACTCTTGGTGTACAATGTGTTTCCGAGAAAGAAAGTCACTGTTGTGAAGAATGAAATTCTGTTAAATTATTTTATTGTTTTTATCCTTCCTCTGTGTACCGACATAGTCTATGAAAATTAATTTTATACTGTAGCACTGTTAACTCTGTGTAATCCCTGCGAATATTATTCTCACTTGCAAAGACATGTGGGGTTATTTTCAGTTACTTTACTCTGCCAATGTGTAAATAAATTAAAATCATAGATTCTTTGTCTTGAATTTTTTCTAACATCTACATTAGAATGTATTACAATAAATTGTGCCCTCTGAGGCCAATCTTTGAATTTTGCCCTTAAAAATTGTTTGTAATGTTTTGGAAGAAAGAAAGAAAATTCTGATTACTGAAATGATGATACCCCTACAATCAAGTTAAGTGATAAAAAAATTTAAGAACTTCAGAGTGATTTGATAACGTGCTTATAATAAATATTTCATGACAAAATTTTTCTCTCCAAATAATGTATTCAGTCTTCACAGTATTTTTTAATGTGTAATGGTATTTAGACTTGCAGAGAACATTATCGTATTCTAGTTTTTTTAAACGTGAGTTCTAAAGAAGATACGAAATCTTAGAATCCAGTAAAGAAATAATGGCAAATTCATGAACTTATTGCAATCCGTGAAAAGTATCTAGTAAAGAAATAAATGAAAATTCATAAACTTATTGCAATCCCTGAAAAGTAGCTGAAAATAAATACCTCCTGACTAATGGCTTCGTTTCTTTAATGAGCATGAGCTTGATATTTGTGAACAGTAACCCAGTGGATCCGTGCTCACACAAGTCTTTGTGTGTGCTCCGCATTTATCTTGGCCACATAATTCTATTATTTAATAAATATTCAGAATCTTGTGCATTTTTGTGATATTTTTTCAAAAGTAGTTGTAAATTTATATATGCTACATAACAGAATAAAGAATTGCTTTAAGCGGAATATTTTAATAAAATTATGTAAAAGTTTAGAGGATTTCTTTGCGAGATTAAATGAAACTTAGTTCCGATATTTTTTTTCTACTTTTCTACAGAGAATAATGCTAATTAATTTTTGAGAGATGATACGTTTCATAGAAGCATAATTTTGCACTCTGAGAAACTTTCAGACCTTGATTTTACAATCTTTTAAAGTCCACAGTTGTTCCTTGTGAATGTCACTCCCATTGGTACTTCGTTTGAAATGTAGATGAATGCTTCTAGGACACTTTGACATTAAGAACCACTGAAATCCTTTTTAAGTAGTTAATGTCGCTTTAGTGTGTGACAAAATGTTTGTAATGTTTTGCATTTTCTTTATAATTATATATCTTAGTTTGTGGTATAATGTGAAGTCTCATTGTATTAATTTATCATGTGAAATTTGTGTTACTTTTTTTTCTGTTAATATTGTAGCTAATACAAGGATTAGACTTAACACTTCCATTGATGGATGTTGGCGAGGAATGCTTGGTGGAAGTAGCTCCTAGATTTGCATATGGGACTCAAGGACGAGCTCCTGATATACCTCCAAATTCAAAAATTACGTATAGAATTGAATTATTAAGTGCTGAACCAGAACCTGAATTAGAAACAATTCCTATTGCCGAAAGGAAGCGAATAGGGTATGCATTTTTGCTTGGGTATAATGAAGTCGTAGATGAACAATTGGTATTTATTCTGTTTCATATTTCAGAAATGAGAAAAGAGAACGAGGAAATTGGTGGTATGCTCGCCAAGATTATACCTTTGCGATTCAGTGTTACAGACGAGCCCTAGAGTTCTTGGATGATGTAGAAGGGGGTATAAGTCACTTGCCCAAAGAAGAGGATCAGGTAATGACAATTTTACTGTAGTATTTGGGGTAGTTTTATTCAACAACTAGCTTCCTCAAGAGTACGGATGGGTTCACTTTCAATTTTCCTCGCACACTCCTAATTACATTTACATTTATTTAGTAACAACTTTACAAAGATTTTGGCCGTAAATTTTACAATTCACATCACAATCTCTTCGTTTCTTAAAATTTGTTTTCATCTTTAGATCTCTATACCTCACAGAGATTTTAATTTCTCCATATACATTTTGCCATGCTTCCTAATATTTTAGTTTGTAATTTCAAACTTCATCTTGCATTCTGTTTACTTCTGCCTCCACACATAACATTTCTCATAAAACTTCTTTCTATTCCAATCTCTTCCTAATTTCTCCTTCCTTAATTTCCTTCCAACACACTTGCCATCTCATTCTCACCTCGTTTTTCTGATTTTCCTTCTAATTTCATAATTTTTCTACTTGCTTTCAATCTTTACTTCCACTCATCCATGTCATCTTTCAATGCTTTTATAGCTATACCATCATCTTCTCCACATATCCTCTTAATTTTTTCTTTATCTCTGCTTCTTCCCAGTTTTCTTTACCTCTCTTTGTCAACATCTCCTTTGTTCGTACTTTTTCCTTTTCTCTTTTCTTCATTTCCATGCTTCCTTTCTATTTCAGTGACACAGGCAAGTGCCTGTGTTGAGTACCTCCAAGTGCCAAGTGCCCTATATCCTGATCCCACTTTCTCCTACACCATCATTTCTCTTATTTATTTCCACACTCCTGTGTTACTACATAGTAGTTACTTCTTCCTCTTGGCATATCTCTCACCCCTTCCTAGACTCGCATTGAACAACCATTTACTACAAATCAGCCTCCCTCTAATCTTTTACCTTCTTTATGGTTTTATCCCTTGACTTCCTCTTCCTCCACCGTGACCCTCCATTCTTCTCTTCCCATTCCCTCTTGTTAAAATCCTCTCCAAAAATTATATGCATACTTTCATTCATTATTTTCCTCGTCCATTGAAAGCTTGTTCCCTTCTCTTGATATTTACCATACTAATAATTCACTGTTGAGTCTTCCATTTGTACTCTCCTTTCCGTAACTCTTTTTATTTTCCTAACACCAGCCCCTTTGCAGCAGCTGCCTGTATGCTATGAGTTAAATATGAGTTTGTACTTACAAATTCAGTAGGCTTATTTGTAGGATTATCACTATTCCTCAGAAATATGTTTTCAGAGATTATCTGACGAGCTACAAAACCTTTTTGAAGATCGCCTAAAAGTGTACAACAATCTTGCTGCTGCTCAAATGAAAATCAAAGCTTATGACACTGCATTGCAGTCAGTTGAAAATGTACTCCATTGCCAACCAAAAAATGTCAAAGCTCTTTTCCGGAAAGGAAAGGTATTGGAAAATATTTTAACATTTTATTATTTATAATTATTGTATATTTTGTTTTGACTGTTCAAAGAATTGACTGCCTCAGCAAGGAATTGAATCCGAATCTCCCAGTATGTCAGGGGTTATATATGTGGGATTTTGGTGGTAGTTGACAATTGTGAAAGGGACAATTATTCCCACATAATAGTTAACCTTCCATGTGTGACCAGGTAGTGAAATGAATAGTGAGCTGTTGTCTCCTTACGGCTGTATGAAGAGCAGATTGTTGATAGATCAAGTGGTTACAGGCTCCCTTGTCAGCAGGGGCAGTCAGTTCTCAGAACAGTTAAAACATAATAGTTTATAACAACATACTGCTTAAATACTTCTGTAGTAGCTGTGGATTTGCAATAATAATGGACAATAATTGTCATTATAGTTAAGTCAATATAGTTGACAAATATTCCCATGTAATTATTGAACTTTTAACCTTGACTGAGTGGGCATAGTATATTATTTTATTCCTTTTTTACATTACTGGTATTTTTGTAATATTTCTTAATTAAATACCATACAATCTCCTCTAAGAGAAAAAACTGCGAGTGGTAGATTGTGTTATAAGGAACCACTTCTGTTGATTTTATGTTACCGTATGTTCGTGATTTATCAAATTTTTGTTCATTTAATAAAATTTCCAAAATGTTACACTATAAAATTGTGATTTTTAACCATTAAATAAAGCGACACGACGTTGCATGGACTCGAGTAATGTCTGAAGTGGTACGTTGCAAGGCATCCCGGATATGCACAATAATGTTCATGTCCGGTGATTTTGGTGGCCAGTTGAAGTGTTTAAAGTCAGAAGAGTGTTCCTGGGGCCACTCTAGCAATTCTGGACGTGTGGGCTATCGCATTGTCTTGCTGGAATTACCAATGTTCGTCGGGATGCACAACGGACGTGAATGGGCGCAGGTGATTAGACAGGATGCGTACGTACATGTCACTTGTCAAAGACATATCAGGGGTTCCATATAACAGCATACGCCCTATACTGCCATAGAGGCCCCACCAGTTTGAACAGTCCCCTGTTGACATGCAGGGTCCATGGTTCCGAGAGGTCGCCATAGTCGTACACGTCCATCCGCTCGAAAGAATGCAAAACGAGACTCGTCATACCACGCTACGTGTTTTCAGTCATCAACAGTCCAATCTAGGTGTTGACGGGTCCAGGCGAGGTGTAAAGCTCTGTGACGTACAGTCACGAAGAGTACACGAGTGGGCCTTCGGCTCCGAAACCCTATATCGATAATGTCTCATTGAATGGTTTACACACTGACACTTGTTGATGTCCCAGCATTCAAATTTGCAGCAATTTGCGGAAGGGTTGCGCCATACGTATTCTCCTCAGTCGTCGTCGGCCCTGTTCTTGCACGATCTTTTTGCGGCAGCAATGGTGCCCGAGGTTTGATGTTTTATCGGATTCCCGATATTCACTGTACACTCGTGAAATGGTCGTACGGGACCAAATTTCATCGCGCCCTCGAAGATGCTCTGCCCCATCTCTTGCGCCGACTATAACATCACGTTCAAACTCACTTAAATAACCTGCCAGTGTAGCAGCAGTAACCGATCTAACAATTGTGCCAGACTCGTATAGTCGTTGCCGACCGGTGCGTCGTATTCTGATTGGTTCCAGATATATTTATTTCTATGCGCTTGGCTGGACCACTTTTTTGGTTCTTCCGTGTACAATAAGGTCGGTGTCATATAGCATCAGTGTATAATAACCTTAATAACCTGTATAATTGACACTAGCCCAATTAGTTTTTATTTCTTAAAAATACCACCATGCATTGTAACAGCGATGAAATTTGAGATCTTCATTGTTGAACGGCTACATGATGGGATAGAGAAGATAAGGCGACTTTATTTGCTTAACTTTAGTGTTTCTAGGTTATCGATGTTCAATAAAATTGAGTATTCAACTTTATTAAAACCAGGAAGAATGTATACACAGATATTCATAAGGCAATGATATCGTACTTTCGAATACATTCATGAAGCAATATATTGGATGGCCTTCAGTTCTGGATGTTAAATTTGTATGTGAAATTCGTCCATTGTTATTTATCGATCCCGCGCTGTTGCCGACACCGCTGCCGATGATTAGTATTATTTATTCACTTTATTTTTTTAAAAGCTTTCTCCCATACTACGTATGCAGTATGTTTTAAGATTAAAATGTGTTCGTGAATACACTGAATTTAATGCTAGAAATATATTTTCAATTTAATTTTGAAATAAAAAATTCCATTTTCAGTCTTCGTTTATTTATGAGATATTTGAAGTGTAAGAAAGGCAGAAATCGTGACATATTAAATAACGGTGACATTAAAATGTAGCGAGAAAGTGTGTTCTGTTTTTAGCACATCTAGTTTCTTTAATTATTTCCCACGAATAGAACTAGAAACACTTAAATGAATGGCACCAGTAAAATAAAACCGGTAAACCAATAAAATCTTGGAGTAATTTTTATTCCATTAATGCACGATTCCTTCATTTCAAGCCTTACAAAAATTTTAAACACATTTACCTTGTAACTTCATTTTTGAGTAGAGAAATTTCGAAAACTAAATTTTATTGTATAAAGGAGTCAAAAATGTTTTATCAGAGCCAGAAGGTGTGAGCAAGGGCTGTCAGTTGCCAATCTGTGGAAATCATTATCAGTAACTGCAATTCTTGAGTAGATGTCAACATTTTTATTAGTCAAGTTGCAATTATGTGAAATTTTCTGAGCATCTATTCTGGTGTTCATTTTATTTAATGTGTGCAGTTTCAGTTTGAGATTTATTAAATCTATAATTAGATGTTTCATGTATTGTATTTAATTCAGATTTTGGCAGCAAAAGGAGACAATGCATCTGCTGTAGCAGTACTCAGGTCTGCCAGCCAACTTGAGCCTGATAACAAAATTATAAAGCAAGAATTGCTTCGGCTAGTGTCCCTACGTAATGAGGATTCAAAGAATGAAAGAAATCTCTACAAAAAGATGTTAGGGCAGGAGAAGAGTACAGCTAGTAGTACCAAAGGATCTTCTAAGGTACAGCATGTTTATTATGTTAGTAGTTAATATGATTTTTGAAGTTATCAAAATGTAACTTTTGCTTTTAATATAATACTAATAATATAATTTCAGATTATTTTAATCAATATCTTGAATCTATTGCAGTCTTATCAGATTCGTTGGGGTATTGTTTTTGGAAGTGTAGCTGCAGTTGTAGCAGGCATGGTGGCATATCGTTACAAGTTCCTCTAACGGAGATGCAAAAATTATTTACACAAGGAAAATCTGAACTTGGTTTAGTGAGCCAGTGTCATTCCTAGTGCATAAAGCTGCTATATATAGCTCATTTTTACAATTGCATTGACTTCTCAGAAATTTATATTGTTGATATTGTTATAAATATAGGTATTGTAAATGAATTGTTTTGTGTATTATTATTTACCTTACTTTGTACATTTTTTACTAAAGTGTGTATTGAGTCATGTCATAGTGTATATTACATTTTCAAAGCTGCATCATTTGGTGGCAGTGCATCTATAGTAATGTTTATTTGGGAATGGTTTGTAGACACAGTAGGTTATGACCAATATTGGTATAACCTCTGAAAGTATGCAATATATTTATTAAATTGGAGACTGATTTTGATTTCTGTATTTGTTTTAATCTCCTTACTAATCCTGTTCTATCATGTTGACTCTTTAAACTCTTAAGATAATGTCTAAATAATTCCATAATTCAGAACTGAAGTTCAGTTCAATTATTCTTGGGTAATGTTGAAAATGTTGGTAGGTTGATCATTTTGAAAGAAATTTGTCTGCTGCATCATTTTTAAAATTGCGTTAATCTACTGGGAATTTAGGGTCCCTCAGATTTCATGTATGTAGAAAAGTTAATGCTTGTTCAATTAATGCAGTATTTATTAGCATCTACACATATTTGGTTTTAAAGAACCAAAACTACAAAATTGGAAAAAGACTAATACTATGGTGAGTTCAGTTTTAGAAGGGAAACATGATTTTCCAGTATTTTGATATTGTCTTTTTTTTTATGTGGGGCATTTCATGCCAAATTAAATATTTCTGAGAAAAGTTTAAACTCTCATTTTTAAAAATATTCTTGATATTTTTTTTTCTTTCATGGACAAAATAATGAGACCTCTTGTTTTTTAAAATTTCTGAATAGTTTTCTGTGAAGTTATGATTTACCAAAATATAGTAGAAATAGATCAATTGCGGCACATAGTGCAAGTTTTGTTGAAATAAAAAAAGTATATTAATTCAAAGAGCTTAAATAATATTTTATTGTAAAAGTAATTCAAATTTTGGTTGTTTAATATGAATTGTTTATGAGAATTGGCATATGGGAAATAAAATCATTGAAGTATTATTTTCATACAGTGTACCACAAGCGTCTTTGCTAAGAATTTGAAACTATAATCTATTTTAAATCCTCTACAGAAATGCATATAATTCGGGTTGAAAAAACCATTGACTGCAATGAAAATTTTTGTTCTTGAGTACATTTGAATCCGCGCTATGAAAAATTCCATGTCAAATCGCATAAAGTTTAGGAAAACAACCTTGATGTCCTAGATTATTAAACTTTTTTCTATGAAGGGTAAATGTGGGTATTGTAAAGCTCCGAGTGTGAGATAGCAGGGAGAGTGCTGCTTGGAGACCTTCAAAATCTGTTAAATATGAGGCCCCACAAAATTACTCGAAAAATTATCTAACAAATGGCAAAATGCATGTCATTAGATTCGCCTTTTTATACTTGTCATGACAGACTAAAAGAATGTATATTTGCATTTGAAAAAACAGTTACCTCAATATCTCGTAAAATACAGGTGATAAAATCAAAACGAATACATCTATTATTACGTCCATTCCCACATACACTTTCGTGAAAACTGCTTTTCTATACCGGGGTGCGAAAGAGAAATTCTTACAAGAACCAAACATGTCCACAATTCTATATTTTGAGATATTTTTCCAAGTTATGCCATATAACTGACGCTATCTACTGGGATATTTCCTTTCGGCAAGTGACAGCCTATTGTAAGACACAAGGCGGGAAAAATCATAAATTCATTCCGAGTGCTATTAAGTTTTTGTTGCCTCCTGAAAATGTTAAATTTGGACTAGATTGGTTGTAAGAAACCCTTAACACACACAAATACTACTAAATACACGTTGCGTAACTGTTCCATTCTGCTACGTGTGAACATGTTACAAATGCTACGAGTAAGTATGTGCTATGTTATGACACTGCAAGTTTGTTGAGAGATAAACGCATGAAAATAATGTATGAATAATCTTTCGTTCCCGTGGGAACATGAATCCAAGAGGTATAAACAAATCGCCAGTGTATTTCGTTTCCGCATTTCGCAAGATCCGGATGGCCGAGGTCGCTAAGGCAGTAGTGGCCTAGAGATCTCGGACCGAAGGATCGTGGGTTGGAGTCCCGCCTCGCATATGGTTATATTGTGTTGGTTCTTTCACCCCCTATCATATCGTGTCATCCTCACAGTTACCAGCAATAGTAGTCGTTAATAAACTAGTAGTTGATGCGACCTTAAAAAAAAAATTGCCTTGCTCGTGCGTCATTTCGTCCTCCGACGAAGCCCGCGCGCAAACACCGCCGCCTGCCCCTTCCCTTCCGGCCTCTCCAGGGCGAACTGCTTGCGCGGCCCTTCTGGAGGACTGTGACGTCAGAGGCGCCCTTCGGTCCTGCAACTGCAGCGCTCTGCGCCCTCTCACTGTGGCAACACTCTCCATCATGTTCGCCTAACACGCTGCAATCGACCTCCCCCCCCCCATCCTGGCCTCTCATACTGGAACAAACAGGAATAGCACGCAATGGTGGCTTTCTTTTAATTTTTTAATTGGCCAACTGCATATCGCATTAAGGGTAAGGAACTCCTGCTCATGCAGGGAATTATTAATTCTTCTTTAATGATGGGATTATGAACGGTGAAGGGTCGATCACAAATACATCCATACTCGAGGTGGGAATCGAACTCGCGATCCTTCGACCCGAGATCGCCACGACACGAGTTTGTTTCCGTGCTCATCAACTGTTAAGGTGATTACTCTTTACCAGGTTTTCCCAGATATCTCCCACAAGCTGGGCACAGACCTAGCCGGGGCAAATTCTAACCCGACTTGACTCCGAACATGTGTGGTCTTGTAGTGGATGTGTGAGTGTGTTACTAAGGAGACGTGACAAGGAAGAGGAAGGGAAGATTGCGCGCGGTCCGTGGTCTGTTTATTAGGGTACAGCATTCGTCTGGGGTTGATCGGAGAAACTAAGCAAAACCGCCAATCAGCGCAGCCGACCACTAGAATTCTCCTCGAGACATTAGCTGAATTCGAGCTAGCTATGAAGCTAGTGTTGAAAATCCTGTCTCCGTCGAAACTCGAACCCTAGGACCTCCCAATCACAGGCATTGCGGTAACCCTAAGTTGGTTCCACCAATCAGAGCAACAAACTCCCCCAATCAGAGGCTGCATTTCACCTAGTATGGCAATGTGCAATGCAAAATGTAGTGTAACGAATTTTGCATCATATGCCGGGATTCGCTGATCGGATTGCGTCATCTGCCAGCGCCCCCCGTACTGGACGGTTCCCGGTTTGTCGCGTAGAAGTATGAAGCAAGTTCCGGATAGGACCAGACGGATACCAGCCAGGTCTAAATTCGCCGCTGCCGGCGGCCGCGATGCAGTCAGTGAGTATGCAGTCTGTCGGAAGTGGAAGCTGAGCTGTGAAGTGTGTATTGCGGTGAACAGCAGTCTGAAGTGGAAGCTGAGCTGTGAAGAGTGTATGGAGGTAGAGCAGTGCAGAGGACCCTGATCAGCGCCGTGAATTGTGGCCAGTACATCGGACAGTGCGATAGTGTAGAAGAAGTGAGCAGTGTAAATAAATAAAAAATAAGTGAATCGTGTGTTAGGAAATAACCAAGTGAAGACCACAAGGACTGTGCAACCTATGTGTAAATAAATCTAGTATTTTAGTGTATCATTAAAACAAAACGAAATAAACGTCTTTGTTAAAATATTACCTGTGTTTTAATTCACCACTAAGAAAGGTTACAGTATTTTTTGACCCTGTGTTTCTTCTTGGGGGGACGGGAGGCGCGCTGTGGAAGCCGGGCGCTCTCGTCCAGAGGCGCGGGCTGCCCCCGAAATGGGATATTGCGCTTTAACAATAACAGAGCGCCGCTGCTTCGTTCTGGAGGGCGCTTGAGCGGGACGGCGGAGAGCGCGCGGCGCAGGATGTGGCGCGGCGAGGCCGGTAGTCGAGGTGCCTGAAGACGGGTGCTGTGCTGGGTGCGGAAGTAGTTGAGGTCGGGGTTGAGTATGACGAGGTTGGAAGCAAGGAGGAAAGCGGGTGAGCGGGAGCGTATTCGACGGCGTGGCGGGTGGTTGGGAACCAGAGGCCCTGCTTTCGGTCGTCTTGAAGAGGCGCACGTGAGCTTGGTAGTGGTCGGGGCTGGGAGGAGGCGGTGGAGTGAGTGCGAGGCCGGACGATGGGTTGAAAACGGACCAGGAGAGAAGGTCGTGAGTGTTGGGTATGAACGGGTTGGGAGGGCTAGGAACGGGGAGAAAGCAGAGCGGGAGCGTATTTGGTACCGGGCGCGGGGCGGGCTGGTATGGTGCGGGCGTGCGTGGCTGGGGCGGACGGGGCGAGGCCGGGGCTTGGGCGTTGGAACGAACTGCGATAGAGGCGGGCGGGGCGGGCTGGACAAGGTGTGGCGGCGCCGGCAGAAGCCGGCGCGGGTCGTGCCCGGGAAGGCGTAGAGTTTGGGAGCGTCGGAGGGCCGCTGCTTATCTTGAGAAGCGCGGAGCTGGGAGGGTGCGGGGCTGGGAGAGGCGGGCAGTAGGGCGAGACCGGAGCGGAGATGGTGAAAACGACCAGGAGGAGAGGTCGGGGTTGGGTATGACGGGTTGGGGGCGGCCGGCGGCGAGGTGGGTTGGGCTGTGGCGGGGAGAGGGGGTCGGGCGATCGAGGCTGGCGAGGATCGTGGCGGCTGGCAAGGTGGAATGGCGTGCATTGGGCTTTTGCCTTGTATTGTGAATTATTAAAGCACTCTTGAGTGGCGAGAGGCGTACTCGCGCCGCGTGGTGGGCCATGGCAGGGAGCTTCAGGCAGAGGCCGGGCGAATCTCGGCGCGGGCTGGGACGACGGACAACACAACGGTTGGTGGGCGTGGTGGGGCCGGGACGAAGGCACGAGCGAGGAGGTGGCACGACCCGGCGAGTGCGGGGTTCGGCCGAGCAGCAGAGCGGGGTGGGCTGGGATGAGGCGGTCGGGGGCGGCCCGGGGCAGGTGGGGCGTTGGCGGCTGAGACGGGCCTGGGGCGGACGCGGGCGAGGCGTGCGGGTGGGTCGAGGCTGAGCGCGGCGGGACGGCCCGCGAGTAAGGGTGGGTGCGTGGCGGTCTGCTGGGCGGACCTGGGAGATGGTCGTGACGGGGCTGCGGCGGGCGGGACGAAGGCGGGAGGGTGGCGCGGACCCGGGCGAAGCGGGGCGCCGAGCAGGAGAGGGCGGGGTGAGAGCTGGGATGAGCGGCGGCGGGGGCGGCCCGGGGAGTGTGGCTGGCGGGCTGAGACGGGGCTGGCGACCGTGGCGAGCGTGGCGGGGTCGGGCG